TAAAAACAGCCTATGGTATATGTTGCAGCATTAAAGTACTGTTTATTTCTGTACATGTTAGCGGTGTAAGCTGTAAATCACGCGTCTCCTCACCTCACGCTTCGTGTTGAATTTTCTTTCATTTTGAGCTGCTGAGCCACTGACAAAAGCCCCTCCCCCTGCTCTGCCAGCCACACCCCTGCTCCAGCACTCCACCCCTTATCATGGAGCATTTCCTGAAAACATTCATAGGTAGACGTGGCCTGACAGAGGGGGGGATCACGACCCTTTCAAGAAAGGTGTGTGTGCACCAGGGGCATTGCTAGACATGAAGCTCTACTGGAGCATGCCCCCCTAATCAATCAATCAATCCATCAATTTAAAAAACAAAAATATAAATAAATAACAGTATTATTGTTATTGTACAATTATTATTCTAAATAAATAACTGTAACTGGAAACACTGTAAAGACCCAACTGGAGTGATGCTCATTAAGAAATCTTTTGCAAGAATAATAAGTTCATTTGAATGAAATTCGATAGTATGCAGAAAAGAAATCTGTTGTCTTAGACTTACAGGGCAGAGAATTAGGTTATTAAGTCTGACCTTCCTGACACGTCATCCCTTCTTATTACTGAAGCACTGGTGTTTATTACTGGAGCACTGGTGTTTATTACTGGAGCACTGGTGTTTATTACTGGAGCACTGGTGTTTATTACTGGAGCACTGGTGTTTATTACTGGAGCACTGGTGTTTATTACTGGAGCACTGGTGTTTATTACTGGAGCACTGGTGATTATTACTGGAGCACTGGTGATTATTACTGGAGCACTGGTGATTATTACTGGAGCACTGGTGTTTATTACTGGAGCACTGGTGTTTATTACTGGAGCACTGGTGTTTATTACTGGAGCACTGGTGATTATTACTGGAGCACTGGTGATTATTACTGGAGCACTGGTGATTATTACTGGAGCACTGGTGATTATTACTGGAGCACTGGTGTTTATTACTGGAGCACTGGTGATTATTACTGGAGCACTGGTGATTATTACTGGAGCACTGGTGATTATTACTGGAGCACTGGTGTTTATTACTGGAGCACTGGTGATTATTACTGGAGCACTGGTGATTATTACTGGAGCACTGGTGATTATTACTGGAGCACTGGTGATTATTACTGGAGCACTGGTGTTTATTACTGGAGCACTGGTGATTATTACTGGAGCACTGGTGTTTATTACTGGAGCACTGGTGTTTATTACTGGAGCACTGGTGATTATTACTGGAGCACTGGTGATTATTACTGGAGCACTGGTGATTATTACTGGAGCACTGGTGTTTATTACTGGAGCACTGGTGTTTATTACTGGAGCACTGGTGATTATTACTGGAGCACTGGTGATTATTACTGGAGCACTGGTGATTATTACTGGAGCACTGGTGATTATTACTGGAGCACTGGTGTTTATTACTGGAGCACTGGTGATTATTACTGGAGCACTGGTGTTTATTACTGGAGCACTGGTGATTATTACTGGAGCACTGGTGTTTATTACTGGAGCACTGGTGA